TATATATATATATATGTTTACTTATGCTAACAGTTTAATATTTTATAATACAAAATATATTCTTAAAACTTAAATTTCTTAAATATTAGTGCTAAATGTGACAATAGGTATAACTTGATAGATTTTGCATTACTTTCTCAAGATTAAGGATTTTTTAATTAATAATATTATGTAGACATTGTATATTCGGTTTTGCAATCAAATAGTCACATTTAGTAGTACCTTAAAATATGCACCTTTATTCATAATATATTTATATTTATGAAATCTGAAGATGACGCGAATAAAAATAAATAAAGGTGACCAGTTATATTAAAGATACAATATATAGAATTATGAATACATTAACTAATATTCAATTAGCATTTTCACAGGCATCAATCCAATCATTATATACATCTAAAGGTTCCGATAGTAGATTGATAGTTGTCTGAAAGTCTTCTAAGCATACTCTGCAGGTTATCCTGGCAGTACTCCTGGATTTGTCCCTGGTATTATAAAGAAAAAAATTTCAGAAGGAAAATTTAAATTTATTATTCTGTTGCCAAGTTATTGGGAATCTCTTTGGATTCTTAAATAATTAATTTTTACTTAAAATAATTTGATCATTAAAGTTTGTGTCGAGTTGCTAAAGCTAATATAAATAAAAAAAATTAAAAGTTGAGTGCTGCTTCAAGTTGACTAAAACTTCGATTTTGAGATGATAAAATGCTCTATATATAAGCAATAAACTTGTCGATGGATTTCAGGTTCACTTCAGTTTATTAAAAATCAAAAAGTCAAGAATTTGGAGCAACAAGTTTTCCAATTCAAAAAAGTTTTCATTTCAAGAACAATAAACTAATGAGATTCAATGTAAGACTATGCACATCTATCAATGCAGCATAAATTCAATCTTAGCTCAATTTACTCGTCATCTTTTTTGAATTCTTAAGATCAATTCAAGATTAGTGTAAGATTAATTTTAATATCGATTTAACTATTTTTTTTTTCTAATTATATCTGTTCTATCAAAATAGGTTAATTTTAATCGTGTTTGAACACTATTCATTCAAATAATATTCATAGTAGATTCTTATTTTTAAATTGTCTTAAGTAATGACTTAAGATGCTAATATGTGCTCTGATTGGTGCGTAATTTTTTAAGACTGTACTTAAGACGGTCTTGAATATAAGATCTGACTATGGTAATAGACTATCTTTTCAGATATCACGAACCAATCAAAAAGTCGTATTAACATTTTAAGACATTACTTAAGACAGTCTTAAAAGAATCGACTATGAATACCGGCCTATGAATACAGGCCTTGAATTGGTTCATGACATCTTAAGACTGTACTCAAGACGATCTTAAATATAAGGATCGACTATGAATACATACTGGCTTAAATTTAATCTACATTAGTAGAAATAAATATAAGATATGATTCAGACACATAACCTCAGTACAAGAGTACGAAATTGAAAGAATCGTATTAATATAAAAGAAAAAAAGATAATATAGGATTATATTATACAGCATAATCAGCGCCTTTATCCTCAAATTATTACGTATCTTCGGCATAATAGATACACTTACATCTTAACCTCGCATGACTTTTCGTGATTACAAAACGGACAATTGAATTGTGTGTCTAACGGTTGAATGGCCTTTTTTTTGCTTGGTGGTTTTCGTTTGCTTTTTCGTCGACCCATATCTTTTGCAATCGGTCAAAATTACACGTATTCGAGCCAAGTGATGTCTCCAAAGACTCCGAAAGTTAGTAGCGTCTATATAGCATTATGATTCAAGCAACTATTCAGTACTGTTCACAGTATGACAGTGTTCACTTCGATTCATGGTGGAACTGATGGAAGCATAATAGAAATCATGGTGGAAGGGATAACATGGCCGTGATCCGATTCATGCTGACAACGCTCACGAGCATTATTTATCTTTGTTCAACATTTGACAAACAACTTGGATAAAAAATTTTTAAGCGTTGTGATGAGCGTGAATCGATCATGGGGTATACACTTGTGTACAATTGGACAGTTTCTCTTTCTAAGGCTGCGGTCGATTTGGACGCTTTCAGCGCTTTCCAGTATTTCTATTCTTATTTTATATCTAATGAACGATAGAGACAGAATGATTACAAGCGCTTAAGTCCGGAGATCTACAATAGATTTTTAAGCCTTAAGCCATAAGAAATGGACGAATTATAATCGATTATTCTTCTCGCATTCAATTGTAATTTGTCAATTTCTTACGGCTTAAGACTTAAAACACCTATTGTAGATCCGGAGTAAATCTTTGCCTTCTTCATCTATAAATTGTACATAAAGTGCAAGAGCTATCAACAGTTAAACGCTAAACATAGAACGGTATTCATAGTCCGTTTTTTCCAATTAAAAAAAAAATTTTATCAACTGACTAATTAAAAAATGTTTCAAAGCGTTTGTAGCATCACGTTGATCGTATCTTAAAGGTGCATTCACATGCAAGTGTCAAGCAGTGGGAGCAACAACCCAATCAACGAGGCAATTTTTACAGTAACGTACAAAATATGTTTAATACCACTGCTCGTACCGTCCAGCTGATTGGTTGCTGCTTCCGCTGCTTGCCGCTTGCATGTAAATGCATCTTTAAAGTAAGAAAAAAATTGTTTATTTTCTTTTCATAAAGTTCTGAGAATTTTTTCTGAATTTTTTAATATCGTATTTTCTCATGATAATAAAAATAAGAAAATGCAGTACTAAAGTACAAAAAAGTTGATAAAAAATTCTGAAAAATTTCTTAGAACTCTATGAGAAAAAAATAAATAATTTTTATCTCTTATAGTTTTTTTTTTATAAAATTGATAGTATTTGAAAAAAAAATAAAGAGTAGAAAAAAATTTTTAAGTGCATTTTGTAGCTGACTCGGAATCGTACAAATTTCTTATTAAACTTTTTTGTAATTTGAACCAGCTACGAAATATTTATTCGGACATTTATGTACGGACACTCTGTATGCATATATTACTCGACATCTTAAGTATCAAAGTAATAAATTGGTTTCTAAATAATTTTGAATGTGGTTTGAAATGTCAAAGAGAGGTCGAAAAAGAAAACGAACAATGTTTTTTATGGAACATTTATTAATCCATAAATTGCTCGAAATTTTGACCATCGTGTATAACATCCAATGCATTTTATGCAACATTGTTTCTCATTGTTGACTGCAGTATTTTTACTGTAATCCTTTCAACAGCTTTAGTGATTTTGTCGTAAATCTTTTTCATTTTCAGGAACAGTAGACAATGTCTTTAATATATCTCCAAAGGAAAAAATCGCAAGGTGTCAAATCTCGGTGGCCATCATGTAATAGGGCCATTAGTATCTATCCAACAATTAAGGAACCTATCATTTAACGTCAATTGTACGTTTGTTTTCAATAGAATTTAATAGCACACTTGTCTCTTTTTCTTCATCTGTTCTGATTGTATGACGTTGTCTTGTTAATGATCCTATTCGACGTAAATGATCTTCGACTCGCCGAAATGTACGACCGTTTAATATCCTTTGTTCTGGACACTCTTGTTGGTAAAGTAGCCGAACTCTATTTTCATTACGCATACTTAAATGCCACATCTCGAGCATATCACACTTTTCATTAATTGTAAATAGCGTTATTTTCGTAATCTACAATATGATATGTATTCATTGAAAAGACGACTGACTGACTAATTGACTGACTGACTGACTAACAGATACTGCACTAAATTTCATACTTCATGCATAGACAAATACTTTATTTGCAAAACAAGCAATCGTGTATTTTGACGATTTGAAGATGATCTTGTTTGACATAATCGAATTCAAAATATTAGTCTAAATTTTTTTCAAATAATGTAATATGGAAATGAACTTCATAAGATTTAATACTTAAGATATTGATTATCTCGTAAGCGATGCATAGTAGTAATTTTTTTACTACATATAATTTTTTTTTACTACATATTATTTTGATTGCAAATGTTCGCTACTATACAAATAAGCAAAAAAAAGTATCCACTTAAAAAAACTTATATTAACCTACATAACTAGAAAAAGTCAAGAGTAAAAAAAAAATTTTACGTGCACTTTGTAGCTAAGTCGGAATCGTACAAATTTTTCTTATTAAACTTTCTTGTAACGTCAAGTTGCGAGATGTTTGCTCGGACATTTATGAACGGATACTCTGTATGTGTGTGTGTGTGTGTGTGTGTGTGTGTGTGTGTGTGTGTGTGTGTGTGTGTGTGTGTGTGTGATTGGTATATATCGATATTACTCACTATTTTTAAAATTTTAATTGTATCCACGATGCTGGAAAGCGATTCGAGATCTCGGAGAGAGAAGTGATCAATTGCATTTGAACAACAATTCGGTCTGTTCATCAATGATTGATCATTTCTTTCTCTTTCTCAATCAATAAAAAAATGACTCATAAAATCGATGTTGAATTAAAGAGTTTTTTCAATGAATCGAGAGTATTACATTGACATCATTTCGAGATTTTACGTATTAAAGGATATCCAATAATTATAATATTAAAATTGAATAAAACAGTAACAGAAGTAGCTATTTATCATTTGTTTAATGGAATTTGAAAATAAATCGAAATTCAAACATACATCGAGTTTTTACCCTTATCAGAGCCATCGAGTTAATTTTGACGTCGTTTCGGCATCGTAATAATATTAACTTTCTCACTGGAGTATTTATTTATGAAATGTTTTCGAATATAAAAAATTTTTTGCAGTTTCAAATCGTCATATAAAGTTTTAGACCAGTATTCATAATCAGATCTTATATTCAAGACCATCTTAAGTACGATCTTAAGAAGTCACGAACCAATCAGAGGGCTGCATTCAAGACCGTCTTAAAACAGTACTTAACTTTGAAATAAGAATCGACTATGAATACTGGCTTTAGTCTTGAATTTGTGTGAGCAATTACTCCTTAAAATCTTTTAGCGTACTTAGGATACACCCTATATATATATGTATATAAATATACATATATGTTCACCTTAAGCCTCAGTTGTTCTCAAGATTTTGATGTGGCTAGTTGTCAGCAAACAATTTGAAATTCAACCGTAATAATCTTGATTACTACGTCTAAGCCGTAAGCATTGTAAAATATCAAATAAAAAAATTTCAGTTCGATAATTTAAGTTTAGATGTTATTCTAATTTTACAAATCTTTTTTTTTATGATTTAATCTTTAACAAATCATACTTCTACCTTTTTACCTTTCATAACAGCCATCGCTTTATAATAATTTTATTGCCTGGAATTAATCTGTACTCACCGTCGAACGTAAAATAGGTTTTAACCATAATCTATTGCTCACTGAATCCTCTAATTTCTATTTATCAGATTATAAAATGACAAGTAATTGTAAGGTTTATTCTTAATATTTCTTTTTTTATATTTATTAGTCATTTATACAAGGTGTTGCTTTCAATCATGTTCCTATTCGTACTCATTGTCAGTTTGAATTACATTACCTATTTTCAATGATTTTTAACGTTTTATGTTATTTTAAAATCTTGAATTTTACTTCATATTTTATTTATAAAAGTAAAAAAAAAATAAAGAACCGTTCAGATGTAAAGTAAAATTACATATCAATTATCACTAACGATAAAATGCATCAATTTAGCAGTAAAGTGCGTTAAAAGATGACAGCTGACTTCGACAAAGATTTCATACAGTTCTCACTGTAAAGTGTACAATTCGGTATCCACTAAATCCAGTATTATCTTTGATAATTTTCTATCTAAATTGTAAATGTTACATCGGCTGTTTTAGTCATTGTTATAACAATGTATTTATCTGTCATTTTGTAAAGTGTTTTAAGCCGTTTAATGAGGAAAGTAATTACATTAACTGCGATCTTCCGTGATACTTTTTTCGATGAAAAAGAACCCTGCACAAAATCATAGGATTTTGGCCCTCGGTGAAATTGGCTGAAACTTTAGTATGTTCTTGACTCTGATCAAAAGTACCCACAGGCACAAAGCTTGAAAATGATCATTCTTTTTGTTATAGCCATTCAAAGTTTTATTTTATTAATGCCTTAAAATCAAATTTCTGTAATAAATGAAGTGATTTTAAATATAAATACCAATATGCCATCCACTCTCACTACCCTCATCCTCACTTCCCCAACTTTCTCATTTCATCCCCATCACTCATCTCTACCCCCATACATATACGCCCGCGCGCGCTATTTTATATGAAAAAGCATAAAAATCGATATAATCTTTTATAATGTAATCTTTTATATGTATTTAGATTTTGTTAGATTTTTACTTCTTTCACGCGTATGTTTGAAATGAGTTCCCTTAGCTCTCACGTGCGAGGTACTTGATTATCACGACCCGAATGTTTGTTTCCGCGCGTGAAGCACTGTGTGCAAAAATATCGGATGCTTGCTGAAGTGCAATAACAACATAGGATAGAAAATTCTTTTTCCTCTTCTCTTTATTTTTTTTTGTGCATTACGTAAGAGGTAAGGGAACTCACGAAAATCAACCCCAAAGGAATGAAACGCCTATCACGTCGTTTATTCCGGATAATTTTGAGAACGGGCGAAAAACTAAAATCATAAACGTACTATTAATACACACACATACCCACACACAAACAAAAGCATAATAAGAAAGATTTACTTCAATTTTTATACACCTTTTTCGTATAAAAATCTTTTTCATATAAAAAAAACGCGTATAGGCATATGTGTGTGGGATGAGGGGGGAAGGGTAGTGGGGGAAATGAGGATGAGAATGGTGAGAGTGGATGGCATATTGTTATCTAAAATCTCTTTATTTATTACAGAAATTCGATTTCGAAGCATTAATAAAATAAAACTTTAAACGGCTATAATAAAAAAATCAGTCATTTTCAAGCTTTATGCCTATGGACACTTTTAATCAGTGAGTCAGAAAGAACTCTAACATACTAAAGTTTCAGCCAATTTCATCGAAGATCAAAATCCTATGATTTTGTGCAGAGTACTTTATAATGTAATTATAAAAATATATTTTCTTACAGTTTTAGGTGAATAAACTTGAAAACATATACATGTCCAAAAAAATTTAGAACATTAGGACTACGAAAAGAATTTAGAAAACGTTACAATAAAGTTAACTGAGAAATACATCCGAAAGTTTAATTTAAAAAAAAAAAAGGAAATACATCATCAATCTCAAATTCCATAATATTTGAATCGTCAATTAAAAATAATGCATAATGGCACAAAAGAATATCCCAACAGTGCGGTAAGACATATCATTCATGATTAATATTTTTAGTGTTTCTTATAACTTCATATTACCTCAACAATTATACATTTTATCTTATCATTTTCGTACTTAATCTCGGTAGTCTAAAGGCTTAGGACGCTCGCAGGGAATGCAAAAGATCCGGGTGCGACTTCCGGCCGAGGTAATATTTTTCGCAATAACAATTAATTATTTACAGATCCTAATATGTTTCACTACCATTAAGAGCATTCGGAGATGGGAAAAAGTATCGAAATTGTTAAATTGCTAGGCAATTTAACTTGTGATATTACTGCGTAGTTTAGTAGAGTTAGCGTTTCAAAGACCGAAAAATCATTTCAACGCGCGTTTCAAAGACTACATATGTAGATATATAAAGTCACACAGAATCATAGAAGCGTTTAAGATTTAGCTAGATCATTTAAAGCACTGATTGCTATAGTTTATGTTATTTTCATTTGTTTTATAACAATAATCTTTTTTATTATTAAAGATAAACACGTTATCATCTCCAAAACTTTGCAACAACATAAACATACATATTGACATTAGGCCTCACAAATGCAGAGAGTGTGGTAAAGCGTTTGTGTATAGATCATATTTGCGTCGTCATCAGACGATTCATGCAGACGAAAAACCTTATCAATGCGAGTTTTGCAAAGCATCATTTAAGTGAGTACTTAAGTGAGGAACAAAAATTAGAGAAATTATTTGGTAACTTGATGTCTATGATTAAATTAATTGATAACAAACAATAAATGTTGCTACGGTCATTTTGTAGTTACAAATCGGTTCTAAAAAGACACATAGAGGCCAAGCATTGCATTGATAAAAATTACAAGTGCATCATGTGTGAGAAAGCTTTCAAAACTCAGCCAGAATTGCGTTATCATATGAACACGATTCATACCCAAAGAAAGTATAAATGTAACCAATGTCCATCTACATTTGCCCATCCTAAGATCTTAAGAGAGCACATGAAAATACATGCAGGCAAGAAATATGTTTGCGAGGTATGTGCTACTAAATTATTGTTAGTATTTTTTCTAATTATTTCTCATTTGATTGTTTTTATTTTTACCTTTCTGTAATTATAAATGTGCTGTATTTTAGACTTGCGGCAGAGCTTTTACTTTTAAAAGTAATCTAATCGATCACTGTATACATGTACATAGCGATGAAAAGCCGTTCGAGTGTTTGGTGTGTGGCAAGAGCTATAAGCGAAAAAGGGCACTTGATGAACACATTCGAACTGAGGTCATTCATGATAACGTTTTAATTCATTAGCAGATCCACATTTGTCTTTCTATTTTTGTTATATATTTATAATCATATTATAATAGACTATTGTAATATATCACAACACATGTGTGATATATAAAAAATTATTTACTTTTTAGGGTCACAGAAGTAACATCACCTGTATGACAAATAAAGAACAAACTGCAGCTGACAACAAAACAGATAAAGAATAATTCTTAACGATAATGACGAACTGATGAAAGAAATAAAGAATAAAGTAACTTAGTATGAGATGTTATATGCATAGATGGGAGTTTTCCAAAAGATTTTTCTCGGAGGTACAATTGAACACTATCAGAACACATGAGCACCGTCGTGTAAAGTTGACAATGCGTTCAGAAAACAAAATCGTCCAGTAAATCCTCACTGCTTAATATATTTAATAATTTTACGTCCTAGTTGGGTTTAAGGTAGTACACTCGCGAATTAAAAACAGAATTTTTTGAAATTGATGCTATACGTATTTCACTAGAAGACATTATTACATTTGTGCAATTGCAATGAAGTTTCAATACTGAAATGTAAGCAACACTTTTTGAAAGCCGCACTTTTTATACGTGTCGCTTACACAAAATTAATGAAAATGTCGCGTTTCTTTTTGTAGAGCTTAAACTAGCAATGACTTAATAAGAAACGAGTATGCGAGTAAGGAACTTGAAAAAAATATTGTGAAACAAATCCCGGGAAAAAAAATGTTTTATATATAATTTTATATAATTCCTTATAAATGGACATATTTTATGTATAATTATAATATTGCATATAATTATATATGTTTATATAAAATTATATATAATTATACCTAAAATACTTTTTCACGGGTCATATAACTTTTTACCATTTAGTTTAGAAAAGAGTCGTGACAAGAATTTTCATAAATATTATAATACAATATTTATCAATGCATCGAACCAGAGAGTAGCAATGAGTTACATTAGGCTGCGTTTATCAGTGTTGACACTTTCCGCGTGTACTTGCGGCATGCGGCTATGAACAACGGCGCATTTAAAAGTTTTTTCTAGCGACAATAGAAAGTAGGTATCAAATGTTTGAGTGGCTTAATTTTTGATAATATTATCGCGAATGTACTACCTTATAGATACTTTCCTTATTACCGCTTACAGCCCTGTAGTAAGTATTATTGTGTTTGTTTAATATGTGATGAACAAGGATGAAATAATTCTTACAGCATGTGAGTGTAAAAAAAAACTTATTAAATGTATTGATCAATTGTAATAAACAATTAATTATAGAGCTAATTTAATTTACCCGGCTGCGTCTTCAGAATACAGTCTAATTTTAATATTGGATGTGCTGACTATTATTTTGTACGTATGATGTTATTCATATATGCACTTATATTATAAGTCGGAAAGCATGAATTATATTAAAACAATTGATATTATAGAGAATATAGAGCATTAATAATTTGTTCTTGTCTAAATTATCGAATCATCGCCATAATATTTTTATAATAAAATTCTTTCTAATAAAAACGCAGAAACCTCTTGATACAAATGTAGGTAGACGTGCCATTTCGAAGGGGCAGAAATTGTTTGCCAACATTATATTTGCCGACAGTTGGTTTGAGCACAAAAAATATTGACTACAGTTATATGTCTATATGCATTAATATCTGCTTTAAAAACGCAAATTCTCTGTTTTAAAAACACAAATCATAATCATAGATAGTTCACGTGTATGTAGGCGATCGATCTGTAAGCAACACGTAAAATAATATTTTGCTTCAGCTAGAATTATAACTGTTTTTTGTATCTGATAGAAAGTTATGTATCATACTCATAGAATTTATGGCACAAATCTAAATTCTATCTTTCTCATCTATATGATTAGATGTAATACATATCCAATATCGCAGTATTTGTTAGAAATTCATCTATTTCAATTATTCTTCGTACTTAGATAATTTTCGGTATAATTACAAGATCACTTTTTTGAGTGAATAGTACGTATGTGCTATTCACTCAAAATTTTAATAAGCTTTACACACTTTTCATAACAGCAATCACTTTATTATAATTTTATTGCTGGAATTATATCTGTTCTCACTATTGAACGTGAAATAGGTTTTGACTATGATTTGTTGCTCATTGAATTTTCTAGTTCTTTTTAAGAATATTTTTAAAATAATAAGCAATTATACCGTTTATTTCTAATATTTCTCTTTTCATATTCATTAGCAATTTATATAAAATGTTGCTTTCAACCCTTTAATAACTGTTTCTTATTTACATTATGTTCCTATATTCATATTCAATTTGAATTTATACGTTTTTAACTATTTTCTCTCTTGTCCAATATATAATGTTTTCAAATAACTATTTTATTTATGTAAATCAGAAAGAAATAAAGAAATGTTCATGTGTAAGATCAATATTCCAAATTACATATACATATAGTATCACTAACGATAAAATATGTCAATTTAGCAGTAAAAGATATTAAAATATGATGGCAGAGCATTTCGATAAAGTATTCATATAATGCTATTATTATAAAAGTGTATTGTAGGGTATCCATCAAACACAATACACGCGCATCTTTGATAACTCTATATCTAATACATATTAAAGATA